CGAGTGCTAAAAAGGTACATTTCCAAGAGTTGTCAGTACGCGTATGATACCCCCCACACAAAATATCCTTGGACAAGTCGGAAATCCTGAACTAAAGATAGTCTGCAAAATGATGACTTTATTTTTATCGGATGTGTAGGAATCTTCCCGAACCTAGTGAGTGACCATGGATGAAGCGAATAAAAGACTGAACGCATCAACGGGCCAAGGCGACGATGCATTTTTGCGATAAACTACTGCAGGCTTACAACAGGCTGATACAGCTAAATAAGCAGGAGCTGATTTTACCTCGTCAGAATGACTGACCTATCGTCAAATAGAAAGCGTTAGCATTTCGGATTCATTGCTTGCTTCATCCTGGAATTATAATGCCAACCTGAATGTGAAGGTCGAAGTGTGAATTAGCCATGAAAAAGTTCAAAACCTTTTTATACCTACGAACTATTCAGTCCCCACGATAATGTATCTCAGAACTAGAAATTTCGAGTTTTGTGGTGTGCCCTGATTATAAAAATATGCCTGAATTGGAACAAGAAGTAACATGATAAGGAGGGTATAGCGGGATTCGAATTCTAATTTCCAACCAATTCATACCACTTTGCACAGTTACTAGAATTTATATCGGAAACATCGAGTTTTTAACTTCTTTTGCTATAAAGTTCTCGGATTATCCTGAATTTGGGTCTAAAATCTTAGACCAGTGAAAAGTGAACTCTGAAAGTTGTTTCAGGACAATCCACTTGCAGTGTGTTTGAAAACTTTAAGCACTCGAAATTTCCAGCTTACAGCTTCGTTGGTCCCAAGCTGTGAAACTAACTCGAACTTAAACCTGCCGTCACAAGGCATATGAGCTGATTTTAAATCTATCCCCTCCTATACGGTCGAGAAATACGCCTCCATAAATATGGTTTTTCTAGTTTTTAAAGTTCCGGAATTGAGTTGTTTGAACAAACAGGCAAACCATGCACAGAAATGATCTCGCCACCATGTGCTTCAGTCAATTATCTGACATAAAAAAGCATCCACAGCACGCTGCAAAAACTGCGGAACCATTCAGTTCAAATAGGCTCAGTAAATGGATGAAAGCTTTGCAAGTACCCCGGTGAAAAAAATCGGTACAGACACGCAGCGCACATACAGACACACACACACACACATACCAACCTCTTGTCAATATGCGTTTTTCGCATTGCATTGCTGCAAAAAACGCATAAAAAGGAATTCAATATTGTGCGAAAAAGGGGGAAAATATCGTCTGACATGAAGGAAAATGAGAAAACATTTCTGATACTAAAATTCATGGGTCTGTTCCAACATCGAAAGCTAGACAAATTACTGTTGAAAGAGAGAAAGAGTTCATGCAGTGGCAGAGAGAGAGAGAGAGAGAGTTTCTAGAATATATGTGAACTTACTGAATTGCTGAATTTCGCGGACATATGCCCCTTATCATCAGTCGTTATTTTTTCAAAATCATTGCTGATTGATCCAACTGCTTTGCTGAAACACATAACACTGAGTGAGTGCGTTTGGCAAATCGAAAATTCAAAATGGCATTTATTAAAATTCACACATTTCTCGGAAAATGATTATTTATGCAACACATGCCTTTTTCAGACAGCTACTATGATAATTTTAAAAGCGGCACACTTTGCTTTTTCCGCAAAATCGCTGCTTATTAATATAAGTAATCGCTATGTTTTCCAAGACCCACACATATCTTCTATGGTTGAAAGAACACTTTTAAAAACCTACACATCCTTCTCGGCGAGCTGTGCGGTACTGAGCAAACGCGCCTCATCTTCAGCAATAATTCGGATAGTAACATTTGTGTTGACAAGATGCTGTTTGATGCCCAGCCTGTCACCGATGAGAAGCCTCACTTCGGCATTGAATTTGTGCTGCGTCTTAAGAACAGGCTCAGGCTGAACGGCCACAACAAAACTCTGCGAGACGAGCATGCACAACAATTTCGTCAAATTATCCAAAACTGTTCCCAAATTTGCGATATGTGTCTGCGCAACATGGCCATTGAGCTGTGGTCCTGCAAAAGCCTTTCGGTCAACAACACAGACATAAACTCATTTCACATCATTTAGCGTATTTTTTCGCTTTAGATGGATGATGACCCCAAATGAAAGGGGTATTTATTTTAAAAAACTGTGAAAAGGGCATAAACGTAAGCGTGACAACCCGAAAAGTGACCCCCAATTGAAATCTTTAAAGAAAAAAGGATGCAACCTCGGCGAAGCAAATCCATCTGCCAGCAGG